TATTTTTATTTATTACATTTATTTATTGTGTGTGTGTGTGGCCAGCTCAGCCCACCAGGGGGCAGGGCTGGCTGGCATGTGGTACTGGGGATCGAACCGCAGTCCCTGTGCTTTGCCAAGCTTGTTTCAAGTAGGTGCTTTAGACCACTGAGCCATCTCTCCAGCCCCTGTAATTTTATTTTTAATTATTTCAAGAGTTTACATACTGTTTCCGAGTGGCTATCACATTTTACATTCCCAGGAGCAGTGCATGAAGGTTCCAATTTCCATGAATGTTGGCACATTCATGCCAACACTTACTACTTTCTGGCTATTGTATCCTAATGACTGTAAGGTGGCACTTCTATCCCCCTTCTCTCTCTGAGACAGGGTTTCACTGTGTTGCTCAGGCTGAACTCGCAGTGATCCTCCTGCCCCAGCCTCCCTCAGTGCTGGGATGGCCCCCACGCGCCATCCTTCATGGCTGGCCGCCCCGATGGTGGCACACTTTTTGAGGTGCCTTCCCAACTCCCCAGGATAGATGCAGAGCTGGGGGCCATTCTGTGTGCTCCCTCTAGCATCACTCTCGGCCTGCACGCTTGACCTTTACCGGAACCCACCAGGTTGTTGCTCAGTCCCGTGCCCCTGAGCACCACCTTTCTGCCTCGACTGTCCTTTCCACCCTTGCTGGCCGACTCCACCAGCTCTTGGCCTCCACGTCAACACGCTGTCCTCCAGAAAGCTTTCCCGGACCTGGTGACCCCACGGTCTTGAGCACTAACATCACCTTCGTTTCAGTGCAACGATGTGGAGCACACATTTAACTCCACTATCTCTGGCTCTAGGGGGAAAGAGTAACATTTTATTTTATTTTTGTTTTCTTGTGACACACAGCCTTGCCTTGTAGCCCAGGCTGGCCTCGAACCCAGGGCTCTCCGATCTCAGCTTCCTAAATGCTGGGGTTGCAGGCCTGTGCCCACAAACGGGCCGAAAGCAGCATATGAAACAGGGTCCACCTGGGCCCCTGCAGCGCACCTCTGTGTGGATGAGTAGGGAGCTATGGCTGCACCTCAGGTCCTGGTGATTTTGTTTTGGGTGTCTGGCGGTTAAAAGTGTCTGCTTCATGGAGCAAGAAATGGCCCAGACAAGTAGCAAGGGAGTTAGGATGCTGTGGGACCAGGAAAACGGAGCAGGAACAGCAGCTGCAAGCAGGGCATGGGTAGTCCCCCCTACCAGGGTGCTTAGTACCAAAGTAGCAGAAATGCCGTCGAGTCCCGGCTCTCTTGCTAACCAACACAGGGTGCTCTGGCCAAGTTAGCAGACTTCAGGTCAGGTCACGCGGTGTGCTCACCCCGACATCCACAGGAGAACGGATGTAGTGTGCCCGCCGGGGAGATGCCCAGCTGGCCTCGGTGCCAGGAGACCTTCGCCGATGGACCTCATCCAGGGAGGGCGAGCAGCATCTCCAGCCCACAGGAGCTAACCCCGTCTGGCACCTGGGAAGGTTCCAGCCCTCTAGTCACAAATCCCTTTAGGGTTCCCACCCCTTCCCTGGAGGCCTCTGAGGGCTCGCCTCGCTTTCCTGTCCCTTAGTACCACCCTTCCATTCCACCGTCATTCCGACGGCGTTTAGCTGGCCGGAGTCTAAGCCCTCTGCTCCCCACTACTTCAAGGTCACGATGCGACTGCTGCCCCAGGATGCGGAGCCCAGCTCCCTGCGGCTCCGGGTGGGACGCTGGCAGGTTCGCAGACTGAATGCTCGGAGGCTGGGTCACGGTTAACGACTCCGGAGCTCGGCTCCTTCCCGAAGACCCGGCCCGGGAGGCTCGTGCCCGCACAGCGCGGCCCTGGGGATGCCACCCCGACTTTCGCATCCGTCTGCAGTCCAGCCACCCACATCTGCAATCTGCGCAGCCGAGCGGTCCTTCGGGCTCAGCTCGACGCCCCAGGCAATTCCCAGCTCGCCGTAGACGCCGGCGCGAGCGTGGGAACCTGCTGCCTCGAGGCGGGGTGGAAGACCCGGCCAGCCCTTCAGCCCCGCGGGCCCGCCCCTCGGGCCAGACAGGCTCCAGTCGCCCCTAGCAACAGCAGCCTGGCGGCTTCTAGGGCCACCGTGATTGGCGGAACCCCGGGAGCGGCGGTGCTGTCACTTCCGGCAGCCGGAGGCGGCGGAGGAAGCTGAGGGGCGGCCATCTTGGGTCCGTGAGGCGCTGAGGTGCCGGGAGCGGCGGCAGCTGCGGCGTTGGGCAGGGCGGAGGCGAGGCGGAAAGCGAGCCGGAGTAGGGAAAACAGCCGGGGGCAGGCACCTCCCCCGCGGCCTCCTCCATGCTCAGCGCCCGCAGCCCGCGGCCTCCTGTCTCGCGCTCCACGTCCTCCTCAAGGTCCTGCGCCTCCCGCTCTCCTGCCGTTGCCGGCGGGGCTGCGCGGAGGGCCCGGGGCTGAGGTCTGTGACCCGCGGGCTGCTGC